TAGGTTCGTCATCGCATTCACTAGCATCATCATCACCATCATCATTAACAACATCATAATCAACATCACCACCATCATCAAGAGCATCATCATCGTCATGACAATAAACTCATCATGATCCTACATGTCATCACCAGCCTCACTATACTGACCTTCACCATGTCCATCATGAGCAGCAGTTTCATCGGTATCGTCGGTATCCTCATCGTCGCCACCACTTACGTCATCGTCATCATCATCATCATCAGCATCATCATCATAAGATTCATCATCATTAGCAGCAGCATCATCATCAGCAGCAGCAGCATCAGCATCAGCATCAGCATCAGCATCATCATCCATCCGTCGTTGGAAAAGGACGCCGCCCCTTTGGCAATCCGCACGCAAGGTGCCAGAGCTGTCCTAGGGCTAAAGGTCGAACAGATGCTTGGCTCGATGGCCGATTGAGGGCGGGGCTTCACCCTCCCCTCTCCCTCGCCCCCTCTCAGCGGGGTTGTGACACGGTCCTGGTGTTCAGATCCAGGGTGGACGATGCTGGCGCCCCTGGGCCGGGGAGTGGCCCCTCCCACCCCGTCCCCCACCGCGGCCTCCCCGGCACCCATGGGGGCGAGGCCCCCCTTCAATTGAGGCGTGGGCCTCTGAAGCAAGCGGGCCCCTCGGGAAAGGGGCTCGCTGCCGCTTAGCCCTCCCCTCCAGGGCCCTCTTCTGGCCACCCCCTGCCCCTGATGCTGCTCGCCTTGGCCTGGACCTGTGCACCGGTGCGCAATCCTCCTGCCCCGTGCCCCCTCTTGGGGCCCGCTGGAGGTGGCGGACCCGCCTGCGGGCTCCACCGCGCGGCGGTCGGCTTGCGCCTGGTTCCTCCTGCTGCTGCGGCTCATGCCTTCGCGGGCGCAGCGGGCTTGGGGGAGCCTGGCCGTTGTTGGGGGCGGTCGCAAAGTAGGCGAATGAGGAAGCTGGGGGCATTCGCCCTCCCAACCTCCCTCTGCCCTCCCTGCCACGCCCTTCCAACTCGAGGAGTTGCGGCATGGCCCTGGATTCAGTTCTGGGGTGGACGCAGCTTGCGCCCCGGCGCCAGAGAGCTGTCCCTTCCAGCCCCACCCCTCCCCCCCTCGTCCCCCCTTCCCTGTCGGGGAATTGCGGCGCAGCCGTGGCCTCATAGCCAGGGTGGACGGAGCTTGCGCTCCCGTACCAGAGAGGAGTCCCTCCCAACCCCACACCTCCTCCCTCCATCGGGTCCTCGTAGCCTACCAGGTTCGAGCGCTGGCGGGCTGGGGGTTCTTGGCTGTTGGCTCCCTCCCAAGGGGGGCCCACGCGTAGCGCAGCATTGCGCGGGGCCGTGGCCTGCTCGGCATATTTCGAGGGGGCTGAATCCAAGCGCGCAAGACGCAACCATCGCATCGCATTCGGCGATCGGGGGACCCCAGGGGGCCCACCTCAAAGGTCACTCCGGCGAAAGGTCACAGTTACGTGTAGTCGAAGGATGAGGAGCGTCCCCCCCCGTCGCGGTAGGCCTCGGGGGGTGTAAACCACGGCAGCCCCCCCGTCCGCCCTCTCGGGCAGGTGCACCTTGGCCGTAAAGTGGGTGCCATAGTCTCCCCGCTCCCACCCTGTTGCCACGGCCAGATCCGATGCGATGTTTTGTTGGCGGCCACTACGGCCTCCGCGGCCCATTTTCACCCCAGGTGCCCTCGGCCCCAGGTGGTCGGGTTGGGTAGTCCTTGCTAGTTCTCAGCATTGTGCACTTCGCACGTTCCAGTAAGAGGGTAATAATTGTCATCATCATCATCATCATCATCATCATCATCATCATCATCATCATCATCATCATCATCACCATCACCATCACCATCACCATCATCATCATCATCATCATCATCATCATCATCATCATCATCATCAGCATCATCATCATCCTCATCATCAGCACCATCAGCAGCAACAAAACCATCATTAGCAGCAGCCGCATCACCATCATCAGCAGCAGCATCATCAGCATCATTATCATCATCAGCAGCAGCATCAGCATCGTCATCAACATCATCATCATCAACATCATCATGATCATCACCACAGGCATTCGCATCACCACAACCATCCTCACCATCATCATCATCATCATCATCATCACCATCATCACCATCATCATCAGCATCATCATCATCAGCATCATCATCATCGCCGTCGTCGTCATCGTTATCGTCATCGTCTTCGTCATCAGCATATCATCCTCGGCAGCACCATCACCACCACCCTCCTCTGCCTCATCATCCTCCACCTTGTCGTCATCATCATCATGGTGCTCTTTGTCATCATCATCACAATCCGGGATCGCATCTTGGTCAACAGTGTGGTCAGCATAATCATTACCATCGCCCTCAGCAGTATGATCATTGTTATGTGTGCCATCATCATCATGGTCATCATTGAAGTGGATGGGTATACTCATCCTCAACACAATCATCGTGATCATCATCAGTATCATCATCAGCAGCATCAGTATCTTCATTATCGTCATCATCGTCCTCATCATTACCATCAGTATAATACGTATCAGAATCCTCCTCATGACACTCATCATCTTCAATATACTCATCATCCTCAGCATCATCATCAACAACAACATAACCCTCATCTTCATCATCGGCATCATCATCATCATCATCATCATCATCATCATCATCATCATCATCGTCAGCATCATCAGCCTCATCGTCAACATCATCAGTCGTATCATCATGATCAGCATCCTCATCATCATCACTACCACCAGCAGCGCCATCATAACAACTAGCAACATCATTACCATCACCATCATCTTCATCGTCGTCAACAACATCATCATCATCATCATCATCATCATCATCATCATCATCATCATCATGAGCATCAGCATCATCATTATCGCCATGATGATCATCATCGGCAGCAGCATCGCCGTCATCATCATCAGCACCATCAGCATCATCACCATTATCACCAACGGCACCATCATCAACAGCATGGTCATTATCCCGCTCGCCCTCCCCGTCCTCACCCTAGACACCCTAGGGAGGGGTAGGACTTCAGATATGACGCGAGCGCACCTAGCTTGTCCCCCCCCCTCCCCCCTCGGCCCCTCCCATTCCCCCTCTTCTCTCTGCCTCCCTCCCCCCACCCACCCACCCCCATACTGACTACCAGCCTCCTTCCGCCCTGCCTCGTGCTTGCACTCTCCCTGCTGCCTCCTTCCTCAACCCTTCTTGGTGACACTCCCACCCCCCACCCCCAACCACCACACACACTCCCCTTCGTCCTCCTCCTCGCCCCTCCCCCTCCATCTCCCCATCCTCCATTCCCCATTCCTCCTTTCGTATGAACAGCTCCGCCCGATCGCACCACGAGACGTACCGGCAGGGCGCGCCAGGCGGTTCGCATGAGACGTCCTCACCACTCCTGATGTTGAAGCTCGGTGTTTGCAAGCGCGTCACGGGTGAAGGGTAGGTCGTTGTCAATCCATGGGTGTCGCCCAAGCGCCGCGAACACTCGTCTTAAAAAACGCTCAAGAGACTTACGGGTGTAGGGCGGGGTCGTTTTCAAACCGTTGCTCGAACCTGCACGCCGCGCACCTTCGTCTGAAACGTTCACAAGGGCTTCACAGATGGAGGGCGGGTCGTTTTCAAAAACGTAGTGCTCACCTGAGTGCTGCGCACGTTCGTCCTAAAAAGGTTGCAGCGGCGTCACGGATGGAGGGCGGCTTGCTTTCAAAATGTGGCTCTCACCTTAGCGTCGCGCCCGCTCGCCTTGAAAGACCGTAGGAGCTTTACATTGGAAGGCGGGTGGTTTCAAAACGTAGCTCCTCAAAAGCTTGCAAGTGCTTCAAGGATGGAGGGTGGATCGCGTTCAAAACGTCAAAACATGTCATTCGTCATATCGCCACGCACATTCGTCGCAAAAGTTTGCAAGAGCTTCACGGATGGAGGGCGGGCCGTTGTCAAAATGTGGCTCTCGCGTTAGCGCGCGTTAGCGTCGCGCAGATTCGTCCTGAAAGCGCGCCAGAATCTCACGGATGGAGGGCGGATCGTTTTCAAAATGTGGCTCTCGCCTTTAAAACGCGCACATTCGTCTTAAATGTCTTGCCAGAGCTTCACGGATGGAGGGCGGGTGGTTTTCAAACTGTGGCTCTCGCCCGAACGCCGCACACATTCGTCTTATGAGCTTCGCGGATTGAGAGTGGGTCGTTTTCAGCGCCGCGCACAAGTGCCTTATAAAAGTTGCAAGCGATTGACGGCTGCTTGTGGCTGACGTCCCAGACACGACATTCTGGCACGACTAAAGACTGCTAGGTCGCAACAGTCACGTTGACTCGCGGAGTTGAAAGTCCCAGGAATGGTGCTCTGGTGCGGTGCAGGATCGTGAGGACGCAACAGTAAAGTTGATACCCGACATTGGGAAAGTCCAGGGAGTGGTCTTTGGGCACGATGGAAATATCTCAGACCGTCGTATTCAAATTTGGTAAGTCCAGCAATGAAAACAAATTCTTGTAGGGACTTCTGAAGAAGGAACTTGGAGCGAGGGCTCATTGGCTATATCGTTGATTCGCCTTGGCTTTACTTCTCCTCTTCCTGTCCCCCTTCCTCGTCGTCCCCCGTCTCATTCCCCCATCATACTTCTCATAGACCCCCTTCCATTCAATCACTTGTTCCCCCTCCTCCTCCACTTCTCCCTCTTCCTGCCTGTCCTCATCATCCTTCTCCTCTGCTCCCTCACCGCATCCTGCCTCCACCTCTTCTTCTGCTCCTCATCCCCTTCAACCTCCCTCCTCCTTCCCGCTCCTCCTACTGACCCCATCACCCCTCAATCACACTGCCTCCAACTCATTACCTTCCTCACCCTCAGCATCATCATCCCCATGTTCCGCTGTCCTTCCCATCGCCGACCCTTCCACCCGCCAAACTGTCATCCCTGGCGAACTCGTCATCATGCTCATAGCCATAACCATCATCGACAGCATCTTCATTACAGTCTCACCATCTTCATGTCGATCGTCACTACCCCCATCGCCATCGTCATCCTCGCCATTAGCAACAGCCATCGCAGTCATCGTCGCCGCCATCAGCATCCCCACCGCCAGGCCTTCCAACACAACCACTCCATCCTCATATTCACCCTGAATATCATCCTCCTCCTCCTCCTCCTCCTCCTCCTCCTCCTCCTCCTCCTCCTCCTCCTCCTCCTCCTCCTCCTCCTCCTCCTCCTCCTCCTCCCCCATTCCCCCTTACCACCGCCCCCTGCCTCCTCCTGCTGCTGCTGCTGCTGCTCCCTCACCGCATCCTTCTCCCCCTCCCACTCCTCCCCACCCCCCGCCCCACCGACCACACACACACACACACATCCCTCAACCCCCTACCAGCCCCACTTCAGCAGGAGCCGTCGGCGGCCGTTCTGGGCTTCACCTGCTGCACGGGAGCGAGGGCATCTTGGCCGTCCTGGACACACTCGGCTCCGTCGCCATCCGCCAGCCCTCGAGCGCTGATCCAGCAGGGGGACTCCCGCGGCTGTGAGCAAGGCTACACCTGCTGCAGGGGCCGGCGCGCCCTTTTGGCCGGCGCCTTGGACACCTTCGAGCCCATCTTGATCGCCTTGGTCTCCTCGGCGGCGCGCCCCGAGGGGGGGCAAGCACTGGGGCAGCGGGGCTCTGAGAAGGCAGGGGGGTCTCTTGGGAGCGAGCGGCCCCTCCTCAAGAGGCTTCTGAGACGGCCTGTGAGAGGGCAGGGAGACTTCGAAGGGCCGGGGTGCCCTCTCGGGGTGCCAGCCCCCGCCCCCGCCCCGCCCACTTCAGCGCGCCGTCGATATCCCCGAGCATGCACACGTACTCTCCGACGACAACGGCGACAATGAGGGCTGCTGCGTGGATGACCCACCAGTGGAGCTCCGAAGGAAACCCCGAGACGAAGCACGTGGCGACAAGGTGAAATATGTGGTACGTGGCGACAAAGTCCAGGCACTTCTTCGCGCGCTCAACCACGATGCGAAGGGCGGCCACCATTGCAAACGTGGTCGCCCAGAGGGAGCACGCGAGTGCCAACCCAGGTGTTGTTGCCCACGTGTAGCCCTTGCCCACAAACATCTGCGACAGAGACTGAGGCGCGCCGATGATCCAGTTGGCAATGGAATAGACCCCGGCAAAGCAGAACCAGAAGGCGGCCTGCATGACAACGATCTGCGTGGAGATCAGCCTGCGATCGAACCTGCCTTCGCCCGAGGCCGACGGCAGGCTCGACGCCACTGCACTCGTTCGCCTCCTCCTCGCCTGCTCCCCCTCCCCCCCTCTCCCTTGGCCCCGTCCCCATTATCTGTGGCTCGAGCCAATGACACTGTGGGTCTGTCATTTTGTTCTCTCTACAATTACTCAATATGAATACTACTCTCCCTCTTTCCCTGATGACGGTTTGAAAGTGTCCGACCCCCCCCCCGCGTATTGTATTTTACACACAGGTTTCCCCGGAGTTGGGTTTTCGCCTGCATTTGTTTCCAAAATGCTGCTCTCGCTGAGGCGCCGGCCTCACTTTCGGGCTCCGCTCGTTCCGAATCGTGCTCCCGCTGCAGCGCTGGCCTCATTTCCGTGATTCCGCTCGTTCCGAATCGTGCTCCCGCTGCAGCGCTGGCCTCATTTCCGCGCTTCCGCCCGTTTCGACTCGTGCTCCCGCTGCAGCACTGGCATCATTTCCCCTGCCACGCCACGGCATGCAATGCAATGCTAGGTTGATACTACGCTTTGCGTTCCTCTTCTACGCCATGCCATGCCGTGCTCTACAATGCATCGCGTACCCTTTCGGGATCATTGCCCTGCTCGACATCCGACTGTGCGAGTAAAGAGGGGATCTGCGCCATGGTAAGGGATGGGAGGGAGGGGTAGGATGTCAAATATGACGCGAGCGCACCTAGCTTGCCCTCCACCCCCTCCCTCTCCTCCCTCCCTCCCTCCCCCTCTCTTATCCTCCTCGTCCGTATTGAGACCAGCCTGGGATCGAACTCGCTGACCCCGCCGGCATGGGCGCCCGCGGAGCAGCCCCCTTCCTCTCGTCCCTCCCTTCCTCCCCCACCCTGGCAGGCCCAGAGATTGACACCAACACTAAAATCGGCGGTGTGCCTCCACCGAGGGAAGAAGATCCCGATCTCGGTGATGGTGGTAATATTCTGGCTTCAAAGGTGACCGAAATATTGCCACCAACACCGAAATCTAGGATCATTTTCCCCATGTGGAGGCAACACCCTGTGTTGGTGTTGGTGCCAATTTCTAGGCCTCCAACACCCTCCTCCTCCTCGTCCGTCTCGGGACCAGCCTGGGGTCGAACTTGCTGGCCCCGAAGAACTTGCCCTCCGCCGCCATGCGCGCCCGCGGGGCAGCCCGCTGGGGGCGGCCGCCTGCTGGGCGGCTGCACGGAGACTGTCCCCGGGGGCCCGGTCGGCACATCAAGCGAACGGCGACGAAGAGGGGGAGGTTGGAGGCCTGGAAATGGGCACCAACACCAACACAGGGGGCTGCCTCCACAGGGGGAAGATGCTTCCAGATTTCGGTGTTGGTGGTAATATTTCGGTCACCTTGAAGCCAGAATATTACCACCATCACCGAGATCGGGATCTTCTTCCCTCGGTGGAGGCACACCGCCGAGATTGGTGTTGATGTCAACCTCTAGGCCTCCGAGGAGGGGGGGCGTCCTAACAAATACATCTCGCCCCCTCCCTTCCACCCCAGGCTCGCTCCCTCTCTTCCCCCCCAAGCTCGCCACCGAAGGGCGGCCTGGCCGACCCCTAGCAAAAACCTTCCCCTTCCGTGACACCCTCCTCGCCTCACCCCAAAGCGAAGATATGCGGTCGGAGGGAAGCTTGGGAAGCGAGGGTGACGTCACGGAAAGTGCTGGTCACGGCAGGGGTCGGCTAGGCCATGCCCGAGAAACGGCAGCCGTGTCGGGGCTCATGCAAATACCGCTCTATCTGTAACGTGTATGCGCGTGCGGACATGCACAAGCCGTGAAGTCGAGATGTGAAGTACAAAAAACTCGCGCACGGTTCGCCCGTGCGTTGGCTTCCTTATGCACCCCAAGAGTCCAGTGGGGTCCCAGGTGCCAGGAGCAGGAAATCCGCCGACCCGTTGTGGGTCTCTAGGCGTGTGAGATAGTTCCCCCCCCAAAAGTCCCCCCCCAGGGACCCCAAACCGGCGATTTGACCCCCCCCCGGGCCCCGGACGAGCGACTCACGGGCTTTTTTGGACCCAAAAGGGGCTCAAGACGGGCCAAGAAGGTCCCAAGACGCCTCCAAGACGGCCCACGAGGGCCCCGAGACGCCACACGAGCGCCCCCAAACGCCCAAGATGGTCCCATGACGAGCCAAGAGACCTCCCAGACGGCCCAAGCGGCCTCCAAGAGCAGCCCTCAGAAGGGCCTACGAGCTGAAAACTGTGAAATTCCTATGGGAAAACGTACATTTTGATAGTACACGACTTGTCGGCCTTCACGGCCTTGAAGACCGTCCAAGAGCACCCCAAGACCGCTCCAAGAAGGCCCAAGAGGCCCCCAAGAGGCGCCCAAGTCGGCCCCAGAGGGCGCCAAGACGGCACAATAGGCCCCCAAGACTGCCCAAGACGGCCCCACGAGGGGCCCAAGAGGGGGAGCTTGAACCGACAATCCGAACCTTCCGCCCCAAGACGGCCCCAGAAGGCCCCAAGAGGCCTCAGGAGGCCCCCAAGACGCCTCCAAGAAGCCCCAAAAGGCCCCCAAAAGGGCCCCAAACGGTCCCAAAACGGCCCCCAAGAGGCTTCGAAACTGCCTCCAAAAGTCCCGCGAAAAGCCCCTCGCCCATTCTTCCTCTGCCTCCCTCGCCTCATCCTCATCCTCGTCGATTCTTTTCCCCCCATTCTTCATTTCCTCCGTGTGCCCCTCATCCTCCTCCTCCTCACCGTCCTTGTCCAACTCGGCCCCCCGGTGGCTTCAAAACTGTTTTCCAGAGGTCCCTGAAAGGCGTGCCGCGAAATCGCTATACACATACAATTATCCCGGCAAAGCAACCTAACAGCGATGTGTAGAAGCATATCTGAAAGCATTCCCCTTAAGATTCAGATGAAAATCCAGTTGTCGAATACTGCTGTTCTCGCAGTCGTAGTCGCATTCGCGATGACAGTCGCAGCGGCAACGGCAGTCGCAGTCACAGCCTCAGCCTCAGCCTGCCTCCTCCTCCTCCTCCTCTTTCTCCTGCTCCTCCTCCTCCTCCTCCTCCTCCTCCTCCTCTTCTCCTGCTCGTCCTCGTTCTCGTCCTCCTCGTCTTGCTCGTCCTCCTCCTCCTGGTGCTCTCTCCTCCTCCTCCTCCTCCTCCTCCTCCTCCTCCTCCTCCTCCTGGTGGTCCTCGTTCTCCTCCTCCTGGTGCTCTCCCCCCCCCTCCTCCTCCTCGTCCTCCTCCTCCTCCTCCTCGTCCTCCTCCTCCTCTTCCTCCTCCTCCTCCTCCTCCTCCTCCTCCTCCTCCTCCTCCTCCTCCTCCTCCTGGTAGTCCTCCCCCTCCCCTCCTCCTCCTCCTCCTCCTCTTCCTGGTCGTCCTCGTTCTCGTCCTCCTCGTCTTGCTCGTCCTCCTCCTCCTGGTGTTCTCTCCTCCTCCTCCTCCTCCTCCTCCTCCTCCTCCTCCTCCTCCTCCTCCTCCTCCTGGTGGTCCTCGTTCTCCTCCTCCTGGTACTCTCCCCCCCCCTCCTCCTCCTCCTCCTCGTCCTCGTCCTCCTCCTCCTCCTCCTCCTCTTCCTCCTCCTCCTCCTCCTCCTCCTCCTCCTCCTCCTCCTCCTCCTGGTACTCCTCCCCCTCCCCTCCTCCTCCTCCTCCTCCTCCTCTTCCTGGTCGTCCTCCTCCTCCTGGTCGTCCTCCTCCTCCTGCTCGTCCTCCTCCTCCTCCTGCTCGTCCTTCTTCTCCTGCTCCTCCTGCTCCTCGTCCTGCTCCTGCTCGTCCTCGTCCTCCTGGTTTTGCTCGTCCTCCTCCTCGTCGTGCTCTTGCCCCTGCTGAAAATGTGGCCCTGGAATGGGAGTTCTGGGAAGTCGAAGAGCACGAAGTTGCCTACAGTTGGCTACGGGCATTCAAAATGTGGCCCGGGAATGGAGTTCTGGGAACTCGAAGAGCACGAAGTGGCCTACAGTTGGCTCCGGGCATTCAAAATGTGGCCCGGGAATGGAGTTCTGGGAACTCGAAGAGCACGAAGTGGCCTACAGTTGGCTCCGGGCATTCAAAATGTGGCCCGGGAATGGAGTTCTGGGAAATAGAAGAGCACGAAGTGGCCTACAGTTGGCTCCGGGCATCCAAAATGTGGCCCGGGAATGGCGTTCTGGGAACTCGAAGAGCACGAAGTGTGTGACTGTTGCATCCGGCCCCCCAGAATGTGGCCCGGGAATGGCGTTCTGGGATGTCGAAGAGCACTTTGTGTGTGACTGTTGCATCCGGCCCCCCAGAATGTGGCCTGGGAATGGAGTTCTGGGAAGTCGAAGAGCACGAAGTGTGTGACTGTTGGTGAAAAACGAGCCCGGCACCCTGCCGCCCGGCAACTCCCCAACACCTGCCCGGACCCCCCTGTGGAGTGATCTGTGAGCTCTTTTGAGACCACTAGAAACCTATCAGTCTTCGCTGTTAGGTAAAAATTTCTCACCCATAGACCATAAATCGCTATACACATACAAGAATTTCTCACCCATAGACCATAACTCAGAGCCTCATCTCAATGTCCCCCTCCTCCTCGTCCTCCTCCACCCTCTCCACGTTCCCCTCCTCCTCGTCCCCCTCCTCGTGTTCCTGGTCCGCTTCGCCTCGTCATATTCGATGATTCGCCCCCCCCCCTATCCTCCGCCTCATCTCCATTCGCCTGTCCCGTCCTCCTTTTTCTCACCAGCACGCGTGCCCGATTCGACATCAGTTGCATGTCTTGCACTTCAGGGTGCCTTTTGTTGGCGTCTCGCGGGACATTGTGCGGGTCGGGGAACGCCGACTTCGGTAGCCTTCTCTCGCACGCGCCGCTGCACTGATACGGCTGGCAACTGCGGGCTGTGAACCCGAAGTCCTTGCAGCCTCCGCACACCACTTTGGCTCCTTTCGCCTTTCGGTGATGTTCCACTTGGTTGGGCTTCAAATGTTTCGTGTCCGAGAACGCTCCTCCGCACGTCGCGCACGCCAGCGGCTTCGCGTCCGCCTCGGCTTTCCGTTTGCGATTCGCTGCCTCCGTACTGCCCCGTCGCACCTCTCGTTCTCTCTCTTTCTCTCTCTCTCTCTCTCTCTCTCTCTCTCTCTCTCTCTCTCTCTCTCTCTCTCTCTCTATATATATATATATATAGTTATCTCTCTCTCTCTCTCGTTGTTCCACGCATGTCTGACAGAGCCTCTCCCCCGCAGTTTTGTGCTTCTTCTGAGCTTCTGACATCTCCGCCTTTCCGTCATACATCGACAGGCACTTATCGTTCGTACATCGCGGGCGCGTTCGTTCCACGCTCTCGTTCCACTTCGCGTTGCCTTTTCCGCGACTTTTGCTTGGCTTTGACATGGCTGCACGTCGCGCAGTACATTGTCCTAATCCTTTTCGTCTCCCCGTCGTCGACCGCCGCATCCGCGTCCCTTGGGCCGTCTTGGGCGCCTCTTGGGTCGTCTTAGGGCCCTCTCGGGCTGTGTTGATCCTCTTGGGAGCACCCTGGGCCGTCCTGGAGCGGGTTTGGGGGCCTCTTGGGCCGTCACCGACGCCGTGGAGGCCGAAAACTCGCGCATACTCAACATGCACGTTTTCCTTCGGAAAATCAGTGTTTTTTTAGCGTTTGGGGGCGCACCGTGGGCGCCTTGTGGGGCGTCGTGGAGCCCCCCTGGGCAGTCTTGGGCGGTCTTGGACTCTCTCGGAGCATTCGTGGGCGTCTTGGAAGTATCTTCGGCCGTCTTAAACCCCTCTTGGACCGTCGTGAGCGCCCAAAACGGCCCAAGAAGCGCCCAAGAGACCCCCAACACGCCCCGAGCGGCCATTCACACTCATCCATCCGCCCCACCCCCCTCCCCAGGACCCCTCCCTCGAGGTCTTCGCCCAAACACAACGTCATCACTCGTACCTGGTTCTTTCCGTCACGTGGACCAGCACGGGAACGGAAAGGGCGTTTCAAGGACTTGCCCGCGATAGCTCGCGTAATCACAGCCTTGGCGCTGGAAGCGATGGTTCACACCACTGTGCGCAATCGCGACCTTGGAGATCGGAACTCGTTACGTCATCGTTCTTAGCGGTAGCCTTGGCGTTAAGAATTTTTTCCAATTCCCCGCGCTCCCGAGAGCCGTGGCGTTGAACGACTTGTCACCTCCTCCTCCTCCTCCTCCTTCTCCACCTCTTCCTCCTCCCCCTCCTCCTCTTCCTCCTCCTCATCATCCTCCTCCCCCTCCTGCCTCCTGCTCCTCCTCATCCTCATCGTCCACCTCTTCCTCCTCCTCCTCCTCCTCCTCCTCCTCCTCCTCCTCCTCCTCTCCCTTCTCCTCCTC